ATAAAGGGAAATACATGATGTAGTTATTTTAAACAAACATCGCTGAAAAGTAGCGAGCAGTATGCTTTTTATAAAATTTAATTACTCTGTCCTGCCTGGCTTCAATTCAGAGGACGTGTTTGTTATACTGGTCCAACTTCATCTTAAACGTGCCCACAGATGGGGACATAACAATGTCCGCGGGCAGAGCATTCCATGCCTGAATTATCCTCTTAGAGAAGAAGAATTTTCGTGTGTCCAATCTTGCCCCAGTCACAGGTAGTTTGAGAGGGTGTCGGCGCAAGCTAGTGGTAGTGGCCAGCTCAAAGCAATCTTTGGATGCTAGGCAACAATCCTGACCCCGCATCATGCGAAATGCCTGTATTAGGTCACCGCGTAGCTGTCTGTAATCCAGAAGAAATAAGTCAAGATTGGTCAGTCGTGTCTCATAAGGAATTGCTTGGCCTCGCACCAACTTAGTTGCGCGTCGTTGTACCCTTTCATGGGTTTTTCAGTCTTTGACTGTCCAAGCTTTCCAGGCTTCTATGGCAAACTCCAATTGGGGTCGTACAAACGTCCCAAAGACCTTACCAAAGCATATTTCGTCGAACTTGGCAAAAGCGCGCTTATTGAGATACAAGGTGGACATTGCGGATTTGGCCACCTTCAAGCAGTGGAGTGATGGTTTTAGTCAAGGCGTGATCCAAACCCCCTAGATCCTCCTGGGTCTCTACCTCTGGCAACGGCGTGCGATTTAGGTGGTACACCCTTCGATACGAAGCGTTGGTACTACCGAGACGCATAATATTGTATTTGGCGACATTGAATGACAAGAGCCACTCGTTTGACCATTGCTTGAGTCGGTGCAAATTTGCCTGCAGATTTGCTTCATCATCTTCGTTGTAGATGACTTTCCAGAGTTTTAAATCGTCGGCAAACATTACGGTTTCGCAGTCTAATCTGCTTATGCAGTTGTCGATATATATAAGGAAGAGAATAGGGCCCAAAACGGCACCCTGGGGAACCCCACTATTAACCGCCACCTCTGCCGATCGCTAATCACCAAGACATACGGTCTGAGTTCGACCGGCCAGAAAGTTTTCGATCCACCGGAAAAGGTTGCCTCTTACCCCTATACGTCTGAGCTTGTATAGGAGACGTTGATGAGGCACAGTGTC